CTCAGAAAAAGGTTCAATGATCATGGCTTAGTCTCCAGAAAGTCAGTCGGCCATGGTGCATGGATGCAGTGTATGTTACAGCTGTTTTAACACTAACAACCATCAGAACACTAACAGCTGTCTACCTTAATTTGATGCCTCTTAGTCAAAACAAAAGATGAAAAATAAATGTGCAATAAGAAGAAGACCATCTTCATCTCTTCCTATTTCGTATATATATATATTGATGAGTCTTTCATATAAAAATTTAAGTTTACATGAATCTAAGCTTACGACATGGTAGCACAACAATGCATCAGTTCTTTCCTTAAATAAAATTAGAACAGCAAGGTAAATCAGTATTCTAAACGATGGATGAGGGTCATGACTGATGATAAAGATCAAAAAGTTTCTAACTAAATTTACGATGTTACCTTCGCATATAAATGGGAGGTAGTTTCTTACTAAGCTTGCATCTTCTCATGGAGAAGCATTGTCTTCATGGCACCATTTGAACAGCTTAAGAAAATTTTGCTTTGATTGCAATTATTCACAAATAATCTTGAAATAGAGCCTTGGGGACATAACCGTATGCCAGTGTCCCAGAGTCTTGGCAGTCTTCATCATCAATGCCTTTTCCATTAGGGCACGATCTTTTCCTTCCTGTCATTGGGGTCTCACATACAGAGTCATAGCTTTCTTCTTCACTATCCTTCCTTTTTGACAGCCTTTTTGAAGGATCAGATTTTGGTTTCATTGCCTTTGGCTGCTTTGGAGCCCAAACTCACTGCAAATATGGCATTGAACTTGTGAAATATGAAAATCTCCTAGCCGTCTCTCTCCTCTTCTTAACTTCAAGCAACTAACGGGCATGTTCCTCACTTCTAGTCTCTTGGGGGTTTCTCTTATCATGTTTCTGCAGTTGGACGGATTCACCATTTGCTAATATTGGTTCCCTTATTCTCAAATTTTCATCTATCTTGATTTTCCCTTGCTTTTCCCTCTGGGACTGGTTACTGTCCTCACTGTTGAATGAGCAGCTGGGGATTTCATCCTCAGCAAACAGCAACAAATCCATTTTTGTATAGATTCTATCAACCACATCTGGAAGAGTGTGATAATACCTGAAATCATGCACTCCAATCATTATTCAGATTAATTGTTTTTGTTTATTTAGTTATATTTTGAGCATTCCATTCAATTGCTCACTCTTCTATATGAAGCGATAATGGAATGCTTGCAAATGAAGAAAAAGCATTGACAGTCAAGCTGGTAGTCTGAAAGAAACTATGATAAAGAACAGATGTTGTTTAGGCACCGGCCAGTTCACCAGGAACCATAAATTATGAAGGCACTAAAAACCTTTCCCTCATATAGAATTTACTTAACTGTTTTAGTTGAAAAAAATAGACATTCATCTGCAAAGATATATGTACCTGCTCTTTATGATTTTTCCCACGTAATCATCTAGTCTCCAATCACCAAAAAAGCCACCCTCCAGATGACATTGGATGGATTCCAAGAGCAAGCAAATCTGTTTTACAAACTTCTGCTTCAGAGGCTCCTCGATACTTATTCCAATCTCTGATTGTAGAATTTCCATGCGAAACAAAATCTGCAGTTCATATCTTTTGCTCATTAAGGAAATTTGCAGCGGTTGAGGTACACGTCCAATTGTAAGATTGCAAGACAAACCATAGCCAAATGTCAAAATGAAAAATGAACAAGTCAGCAATGGTAAAATATGAGATCCACGTGCAACATACTGATATAACAAGAACAAAAAAAAGGATACTCTCTAACTATATCTACTGAAGCAGATCCACCAGATCCCGGATCAGATGCCTGGCAGGATGGACTTCTCTTTTTGTGCATAGCAGCGAAGTCCTTTGGCTCCTTGAGTAAAAGTCCTGCCAATTCAACAGCAACTTTGCTTGCGCAACTATCATTTGATTTCACCAAATGGTTTTGACTCACCATTGTGTTTTCCATTTCATGCTTTTGGTATAACCAGTAGATAGATGAATTTAGAAGCCGTTCTGCAGTTGCCCCCAAGTCTAGATCTTTAGACTCGAGTCCTTGTTGAATTTTATTTGGAAGACTAACAAAGAAATTCTCAAAACTCCCAGAACAGAAATCATTTGCAGCCTCATCTAATATTCTAGAAGAAACCTCTCCCACTGATACCGAATTAGATATTGGCTGTTCACTTTCTTGTCTTTGTTTTTATTGTTTTTGCTTAAGTTAGCTCCAATAGTTAGACTTAACATAGATGTTCTTATTCTACTAGCATACTTCATATTTCTATCGACAATTTACATCTCTGTTTTGTTGACTAGATTCATTTTCTACTTTATTAGCAAATTTATATTTCAACTTCTAGTTGTAATTCTTTTTTAAGATTTCAAGTAAAGATCTCAGTTTTGTTTCATTTCTATCAATAGCTAATTCTTTACATTTTTACCAACTTCGTTTTACATTTCTACCAATACCATTAGTTTTTTATTCTAGCTAAATTTAAGATTTTTATCAGAGTCTTTAGTCTAATGTCCTTCTATTACTTTAGTCTTAGATCGTCCTTTCTTTCTACCTTGCACTCCTCCATCTTTTTTTATTTCTACCTATTTTGCTTAACAACCTAATGGCATGGCATTGTAGCCCTAAATGTGGGAAGTTCTTGATGTTCTTCTAAGACAATTATTTTTTAACATTTATTTAGAAATGCACCCTCGTTTTTACTACAATTGTCTAGTCAAGGTATTATTGGCACAATCATTCAATCAATTGGCATTATCCCATCGACCTTTAAACAAGTTCTAATGCTTAGAAGAAGTTAGGGTTGCTAGAAATCCTTCTTTCTTGCTTTGAGCAAAGCAAGTCACATGCTTGAGCAACTTTTGTCACATGCAATCAAGAGGAAAGGATTTTAGAGGAAACAATAAGACTAATGTGTAATTGTATCTTTACTTGATTTTTTTTTTTTTTTTGTATTTATGATTAGGTTGTCTATAGGCCAATTTTTATGTATCTTAAAACTATTTTTTTTTTTTTCAAATGATCTTAAATGTGCACTCCTATATTGGCCTAATGCATTTAAAGAATTTTTTTTTTTTTTAGTGTTAATCTCAAGATTTGAACCATTTATTGACTTATAAGACAACATTTATTTCTCAATGAATTCAAACATTCGGAGTTTACAATAGTTCATAAAATAATAATGAAATGTGCCTATCAGTCAAAGACCTAGCTTAATGAAGGTTTGGTTTCACTCATCCCCTTATTTTTCATTTCTCTTCAAGCAGTCTTTTTCCCATCTAATTTTCTTAAGTAATCCTAAAAGTTACTTTGCTTCTTTCTTCTCCCCTTGAATTTCACTTCAATTTCACCACTATGCTTCCCTCTTTGATTTCTCAATTTCACCACTATGCTCCTTCAGTTGATTTTCCTCTTCGATTTCACTATTCTTCTTCTTCATCTTTTACTTGTTGGGTGCTCGAAGGGGCATAAAAGTAGTAAATTCAATTTGAGATAGTTAGAAATGACACTTGTGATCTAGATGTGGCTCCTTGAGCCTAATTGCAAATTGAATTATATATCTAATTATGTAAATATGAAAAAAAAAATCATATTAGATTAGACATCAATTTTCAAATTAAAAGTTTATGTTATACAATCTAATCACATAAACAACAATATGTGAACGAAATTTTAACATCTTGTATAGGTAAAATTATGCATACAACACTCTCTACGCAATATTATGCACAATGTGACGTGACATTTGATTTAAACACACCCCTTCACATATAGGTTCAATATGACTATGTTTTTAAAGTCGAACTAGAGGTCAACCCATTTTGATCTTCGATTTTGGTTGGACCAGTTAGATCAGTTAAATTGTACAATTTGATTGGATGATATCATAAATAATTTTTTATAACTTATATGTAACAAATAAAATGTTATGCAAAGTAAGCACAACCACAAAACCCACTGGCTAGATGGTAATGGCACTTTTTAATGATTGATGAATTGAGAGTTTGAGACACTTTGATGTCAATTTTATACCTTTATATCAGCATTTCGAAATTGAAGGTAAGAGTTTGAACCCTAGCAACTCTTACTTCCATTTCTCCTTAAAACAATGAACTGGTTGGTTCATCGACTCCTCGATTTTTTTGGGTTTACCAGGTCTTATTGGTTTTATCTAAGTTAACTCTACAAACAAGTTGAAGTCATTACTTGAACTGAATTTATAACCAAGTATGTTTCAATTGGTTTGATTGATTGGGTTGGCCTAGATTTAAAAGCACTACGATATGAACATCGAATCTTGTCACATGACTTAATACACCCTTTTACAAGCAAGTCTGGTATGAACATGGAAAGTGTATTAAGTGAAAAGATCACACATTGAAATATAACAAAGTATATGGATTAAATACAAGGAAAGTTACTTCAATTATTATCAATTGGTTTTAAATTGAATGCAAGTCTTGTATTAAAACCCACATATTAATTTTCACACCGTATCAAAGCCCAATTTCTGTTCTTGAGAGACCCATTGTTGGCCACCTAATAGGATTCGAGTGTAAGGGGCATATGAAGTCATTGTCATGTGCCAGGATCCAAAATTCATACCAAACTTGCACGCAAGGAGGCGTGTTAAGTGGAAAACTTAATGTAAGGAGGGTTACTTCACTTATTGTTAATTAGTTTTAAGTTTGATGCAAATCTTGTATTAAAGCCCACATGTCAATTTTTGCACATAGCTACATCTATAAGTTTTTCTATCTTTAATTTTAGATTAGGAAATTTTAATTTTTAAATAAATGTATTGTATAATGTATTGAACTAAAGGGTGTACTGTAAACCAATCACTGTCTTTTTTAAATAATTGGTTTGATACCTAGAAACATTTGTTTATAAACTAATTTTAATTTGTTAAATATAAATATTAATTATTTTATCAACTATTAATTGTTTTTAATTATCAATTCAAAATAAAATTTTAACAATTTATATAGTAATGACAAATTTAAGTGTGGTTATAACCATAGCATGATAAGACCTACATGGAGATGGAGTAAAGAGGGTCAAATCATAAAATAATTGATCCTCTTAGAAGAGGAAGAAAGAAAAGTATCAAATCATATAATAATTAATTTGATTATAGAAGGAAGGAATATCTCGTCATTATTAAAATTGATCAATTAATAAAAAATTAATTTATCAATTGATTGGTTTCAAAAATAAAATATTGATTGTAATATCATCAATAAGAGATTTTTAATTAATTATTATTTTCTTATATTATGTATTCCTCCCTTTATAAATAAAGTTACTCATATGTAAAAAATGAATAAAAAAATAAATAAACTTACAAAGCCATGTAGGCTTTTGTACTATGAACTAAAGGGATCTGGACACTTGATGCATCCTAACAATATTTTAAACCACGTAATATTATTTAGACAGGGTAAAATTAGATCCAATCTGAAAATCTGACCCAACCCATCCGTTATGGGTTGGGTGATGGGTCTTATGTGTTAATTCAAAATCTGAAATAATCCAGATTGAAATTATCCGAACCCAAATGAGTTGGGTTATGAGTGGGTCGGGTCACCCGAAATGACCCGAACTTTTATTTATTTTTTTTATTAGATTATTTAAAAATTAATTTTAAATTTCTAATTTCTTAATTCTAAAAGTAGAAATAAATAAAATACACAAACTCTAACCTCCTGTTAATTTCTCTTTCTCTCAACTTTTCCTCTTCTCCACTCTTACTCTTCTTTTCTTCATCTTAAACTCTTTAATCCTTCTCTTTGGTGGCACTTGCGTTAAAAATTAAATTAGGTGACACATAATGAGTTGTATCATATGATATTATCAAAAAAATCCATTTAAAAAAAAAAAAGCAAAAATGCCAACTAAAAATCAAAAGTCGATGGCTGAGTCATTAGAAGTACAATGACAAGAACATAAACAACATCAAGTTTTGAACTTAATTGCTAATTTGTTCTAAATTACTAATTTATTCTTAATTAATAATTTGTTCTTAGTTAATAAAAATCAATCTCGATCAAATTTCTTTTTGTATTTGTTTAGACATATTTTAAATTTACCTTTTAAACTTTAATATTGAATAGAGTTATATTTTTTCTATAATGCCTTTTTAAATATTGAGTAGAATTGTATTTTTTGTATAATACCTTATAAATATTGAATAAACACTAGATATTAACATATATATTGGATTTGTCTTTTGAACTTTAATTCTTTATGTCTCTTCTTTTAATTAAAGTTGGTGCCTTTATAAACTTATGAATTTTAAATATTGTATAGACATTATATATTTGACATATGTTTTAGTTTTACTTATATAATTAGTAATGTTTCCATTTTCTTTTCTTGAGAGTGGAATGAAAATTAAATCATAAAATGAGAATTAGTATTTAATAAAATTTTCTCACTAAATAATTAATTAATATTAGATTTTGTTAAAGAAAAATATAGAAAAATATAAAAAAAAATTTAATTTTAATTTTAATTTTTTAAAAGTTGGACCCACTCAATTTAATCCAAAACCCGAATGGGTGGGTTATGAACCTAGCCTTTTAATTAGACACTCAAAATGACTCAATCTAAAAAATCTGAAATCCAAAACGATCCAGTCCAAACCCACGCAATGTAATCCGTTTGGTAGGTCTACTTCTATTCTCTCTCACTTTTCCCTTTTGTTTTATTTATTTTATCATTATATTATTATGAAATCCTCCTACCATTAGAGATTCTATCGCTTTATTAGAAACTTCTTTCATGGAAAGCTGCGTGGAAAGTCAGAAATAATGGCACTTTGGACCATAAAGATGCCATCAATTTATTTAATTATTAATACAAGGAACACTAATGGCTAAACCGCATCAGCTAGCTGGTGTCCCACTTCCTTATACATTTTTCACTATGGAAGCACTATATCCATTCTTATCATCATAGTACTTGGACCATAGCATAACCCCACCGTACTTA